AGCCTTGATACATAAAATGTGATCATGGTCACCTGTTACAGAGAATAAATAGGCAGAATTTCTAAAAAGTAGAGTTTTGGTTCAGGTCTGGTTCCCAGTGGCTTCACTGGGTCCATAAGCCTACCCCATGGGCAATATCCGTGGTCCCTAAAAGCATAATTTAAATGGATACGTGGTAGTGGGTAGAGTTTCCACATTGGTTTCTTGGCCTGTGCAGTAAGAGCTATCACAGTAAAGATTAAGTGGAAGCCTCTGAAACTTCTCTCTACCCTTTTCCTCACTCTGGTCAAGATAGGAAATTGAAAACAATATCACATCTCAGGTGGAATGCCAGAAATTAGTACTGCTCCTAAAGACCTAAAGCAGAATACAGATCTGGTGATTCCCATCATATTCCCATTTAATATATGAGTTTGAACATTCAAAAAAAAAGGGTCTTTGAAGTCTGAATTCAACTACTAGAAATTAAATCAGGAAACAGCCCTAATTATAGCTGTTGTGCTAAACGTGGCATATTTGCTAGAGCAGATTAAAATAGCATTAGATCCGTTATATGTGGCCACTGACATGGCAAATGCATTTTTTTTCCATCCCTAACAAGAAGAAACATCATTCATTCATGTGAAATGAATAATACACTTTTATAGGCTTGTTTATTTTTATCCTTGTCTTTCTTTCTGGGTATGATCCATGCTTATTTCTCTTGAATGTGATATTAGTTCTGGATTTTTCTGATTGTACCCCATAATGCCAAATAATTTGGTTTTAATTGGTTATTTGACTCTTTTCTACTGTGGACATTTTGATCACTCTAAATTGAGAACTGACTATCAGCCACAATTCTAGTCAATTCAGACCTCTATCCTATGTGGAGTATCCAGAGATTTACAAAGATATGGAACTTTTTAATTTTGACCAGCTAATAGTCTTGAAATATTATATAGATGCAAAATATTTTCCTCAATTAAGAATTTCTGAATGTAATGAAATTAACTACTTGACTATCGTAGCATTGCTCTTGTGACAAACATAATAAACACACATTTCTTGACTTGAATTAAAGGTCCTTCATAATCAATTAGTCTTCCTGTCTCTCTCTCCTCAAATCACCTATTCTCTCTCCCTTATCTGAAACTACTATTATCCTTCTTTCAGGGATCCAGCCACATCAACCTTGTCTGTTATCAAATATACCATACAAACCTTGCCAGTTGTCACGATGCTGTTGAAGACATCCTTTATCAAAAATGTTTAGTCAAATGTCAATATTAATAATATCATTTATATTTTAAAGGCTATATTATCTTAAATATTTCAGGACTCTAAAGATACTGGATCTTAATGTCTGGAAGAGATAAAGTTTTACAAAAGCATGTTATCTTGTTACTTGTAGAAAAAGCAAATACTCATCTCTTACCATTGAGTCATGTGAATGTAGGTACATCTTAGCAAGTGTAGAGTTTTTGAATTTTTCACTCAAAATGAAGCTGTGGAAACTCTGAGGTATGAACGAGACTGGTGAATCACTTCCTTCAATCAGATTTTTATACACATTTGTTTGAGGTCGAGCTAGGCCTTTCAGTATTACATAAAATCCATCATTTGCAATCACTGAAAAAAACAAAGCCAAAAAATGTATACCATTGCTCAGGCTCCTTGATATAGATATGACTAATACATATATTGCACTTACGGTACTTTCAACACATTTCTTTCAGTGTATTCTATAACAATGAATTTAATGTAATAGGCATTTTCAAATAGTTTATTCAAATAACAAGAATAACAAAAGCATGTTTGTACATTGGATTATTCTTTTCAGACAATTACATATAGTTGCTATCCTCTCATAGAACTGATGGGTTCTAGGGGAATAAAACATGATTACATATAATTATTAATAGAGGTGAGACACTGTGAGAAAAATGGGTCCAGAAAAGCCTGATAGGTTCTAGGGGAAGAAAACATAGCATATAAATATTAATAGATTTGAGACATTGTGAGAAAAATGGGACCAGAAAAGCCATTGAATGTTTTTTAATGTTTATAACCGTCCAATACACAAAATGCCATTTTTCCTATTTTATATAAATAACAATATATATCTACCCTTAATTTTAATTTATCTTTGCTCTGGACATGATGACAATCACTTATAGAACTTAATAATGGAGAGAGTCTGGAGAAGGTGACTGATTATTACTAGAAAGAAGAGTTTTCCCAAATATATCCTACTCCATAACATAAATCTCTAAAGTCTGTCATCTAACCCCAATTCCTAAAGTTAAACTGTATGCCTGTAGGTCAGAAAGACATACTCATTTGTGAATATTTCTAATGTACCTTAAATTAATTCCAGTTCTTCTGAAGCGTGGAAGGGGGTAAGAATAGGATGGTGTCTTTCTCCATTTCTTATTTACATTACTTCCTAAGATTGAAGCAAATTACTCAAGTGCTGTCAGGAGATATTTTCGTACACTTTGCTTATTAACTTGCTAGAAATAGAAATTTTACAAATTTCATTTTCAGGGACAATCGTTTTTTTAAAATGTCCCAAAAGTCATCAAATGCCTGCCATGTCTGCTTTTTTTCTAACCTGAGTGCTAATTAGTGTGACTTTCTTAGTCACAATTCATACACAGGGACCGTGGGGGAGTGATTCACATGCTTCTTTAAAGCAAAGGTTGTTCTTGCTTGGATGTCTGAGGTTAAACTAGACCTCCTTCCAGGCAACACAATACAAGCATATCTCGTTTTACTGTGCTTTGCTTTTCAGTGCTTCACAGATACGGCATTTTTTTACACATCAAAGATTTGTGCAACCTTGCATCTAGCAAGTTTATCAGCACCATTTTTCCAATAGCATGTGATCACTTTGTGTTTCTGTGTCACATTTTGGTAATTCTCACAATATTTCAAACTTTTTCATTATTACTGTATCTGTTGTGGTGGTCTGTGATCAGTGATCATTGACGTTACCATTGATGTAATTGTTTTGGGCACGGCAAACTATGCACATATAAGACAATGAACTTAATTAGTAAATGTTGTGCATGTTTGGACTGCCCTACTCAATGACTGTTTCCCCATCTCTCTCCCTCTCCTCAGGCCTTTCTACTCCATGAAACACAACAATGTTAAAATTAGGCCAATTAATAGCTCTAAAATGGCCTCTAAGTGTTCATGTGAAAGGAAGAGTCATGTGTCTCTTACTTTGAATCAACAGCTAGAAATGATTAACCTCAGTAAGGGAGGCTTGTTGGAAGATGAGATATGCTGAATACTAGGCCTTTTACACTATATAGTAAGCCACGCTGTGAATACAAAGGAACAGTTCTTGTAGAAGTTTAAAAGTGCTATGACAGTGAACACACGAATGATAAGGAAGCAAAACAGCCTCACTGCAATACTGAGAAAGTTTAAGGGGTCTGGATAGATGAAACCAGCCACGGCATTCTCTTAAACCAAACCTAATCCAGAGCAAGGCCCTATTTCCATTCAATTTCAGGTAAGCTAAGACAGGGTGAGGAAGCTCCAGACGAAAAGCTGAGAGCTGGCAGAGTTTGGTTCATGAGGTTTAAAGACAGAAGCCATATGTATAACATAGAAGTGCAAGGTGAAACAGCAAGTGCTGATGCAGAAGTTGCATCAAGTTATCCAGAAGATGAGCTGAGGTCACTGATAAAGATGGCTACACTAAACAGATTTTCAATGTAGATGAAACAGCCTTCTATTGTAAGAAGATGCTATCTAGTACTTTATAGTTAAAAGAGAGAAGAAGTCAAATCCTGGCTTCAGAGTTTCAAAGGAGAGGTTGATGATGACATACAGCTGGTGATGGTGACACATAGGTCAGCTGACTGTGACATGCAGCTGGTGACATTAAGCTGAAGCCACTACTCATTTACCATTCCAAAAATTCTAGGGCCCTGAACAATTATGCTAAATCTACTCTGCCTGTGTTCTATAAATGGAACAACCAAGCCTAGATGACAGCATATCTTTTTATAGCATTCTATAATGAATATTTGAAGCCCACTGTTGAGATCAACTACTCAGAAAAAGACTCCTTTCAAAATACTACTGCTCATTGACAGTGCATCTGGTTACGCAAGAACTCTGATGGAATTGTGTAAGTAGTTGAATATTGTTTACCTGCCTGCTAACACAACATTCATTCTGCAACCTATCAATCAAGAGGTAATTTCAACTTCTAAGTTTTATTATTTAAGAAATACATTTCATAAGTCTATAGCTACCATGGACATAATTATTCTGATGGATCTGGGCAAAGCAAACTGAAAACCTTCTGGAAAAGATTCATTATTCTAGATGCCATTAAGAATATTTGTGATTCATGAGAAGGGGTCAAAATATCAACACTAACAGGAGTTTGGAAAAGTTGATTCCAACCCTCAAGGATGACTTTGATAGGTTCAAGGCTTTGGTGGAGGAGGAAACTGCAGATGTGGTGGAAACAGGAAGATGACTAGAATTAAAAGTGGAGCTTACTTACGGATGTGACTGAATTGCTGCACTCTCATGATAAAACTTAAACAAAACAAGGAGTTGCTTCTTATGAGTGAACAAAGAAAGCAGTTTCTTTAGATGAAATCTACTTCTGATGAGTAGGTTGTGAACAGTGAATTTTAAAAAAGATTTAGAATGTAACATAAACTTAGTTGATAAAGCAGTTGGGCAGGGTTTGAGAGAATTGACTCAAATTTTGAAATGTTTTATGGGTAAAATGCTATCAAACAGCATTACATGCTACAGATAAATCTTTTGTAAAAGGAAGAGTCAATTGATGCAGAAAACTTCATTGCCATATTCTTAGGACATTACCACAGTCAAACTGGGCATGGTGCTGCATGCCTGAAGTCCCAGCTACTTGGGAGACTGAGGTGGGTGAATCACTTGAGCCCAGGAGTTCAAGTTCAGCCTTGGCGAAAACAACAAGACTCCATCGAGAGAGAGAGAGAGAGAGAGAGAGAGAGAGAAATTGCTGCAGCCACCCCAATCTTCAGCAACCTCCAGCCTGAATAGCCAGTAGCCATCAACATTGAGGCAAGACCCTCCACCAGAAAAAGATTAGGACTCACTGAAGGTTCACATGGTCATTACTATTTTTTAAGCAATTAACTATTATAAATTAAGGTATATATATTTTTAAACATAATGCAATCACATGCTTAATAGACTACATGATAATGCAAACATAACTTTTATATGCACTGGGAAACCAAAAATTGTGTGTGACTCATGTTATCATGATATTCATTGTGTTGCAGTGCTTTGGAACTAAACCTGAAATTTCTCTGAGGAATGCCTGTATAATAAATGGATCAAGTGCTAGTCTAGGAGGCAGGAGGAGGACTGATTTTTAGTCCCAGTGTTGCATTCATTGTGTAATATATTCCTAGAATCAATGTCCAGATCAAAGATTGTCATGCTAAGTTATCTACATGTATTTTAACTGTGTTATTTTGTCAATTATTCACTGAATGTAATAATTTTATGTTGTTGTAGTTACTACTATAGGGTTTAAATGAATTTTGAAACTAATATACATAACCAAATTTTACCAATGCAAAGATTATCTTAAAAGTTTTGGCCAATTTAAATTAGTGAAATGTTAAAGATGTAGATGAAAAGACTGTATCTAATAATAGTAATTAAATTAGTTAACAATAATGTTAAAAACCTCATATTACATAATATCACTTCAGAAAAAACTGTGTTTAATATGAAAAGCATAAATATTCAAATATCTCACATGAATCTCTTTTGTAGTTTCTTCATCATAATTCAGATTATTTATTTCATCATCCAACACATTTCTCTGAAACCATTATCTTTACTCCAGTTGGTTTGGGATACAGTATATTTGCATTTCAATGTAAAGAAGTCCCTGAAATTGTATCGCAAGCTACAAGTACTGTAATGACTTGCACAACAAGTACATACATAACTGTTTTTAGCTAAATTGATTTTTTAATTTTGTAAAATGCTGAATTTATTGCTAAAAATGCTTTTACAAAATTAAACTTACTGAAAAGGCACAAGAAAAAATAAGAATCACCCATACTTATACAAATCAGAATTTTTGAATAAGTGTATTTATTTGGAAACAGAAGAGGGAGACTGCAATAACCAAAGGTTTAAAAACTGAAAGAATCAGATATTGGCATGGATGTGAGACATCTAGAATTCTCACACATTGTTGGTGGGAGTATAAATTATACAATTACTCTGCAAAAATATCTGGCAGTTTTTTTTTTTTTTTTTAAATGAAACATACTTCTAAACTATGTCCCAGTAATTCAGCTCTTAGGTATTTGCTCAGGGGGAATAAAAGTAGATGTCCAAAAAGGACTGGTACAAGGATGTTACTAGCAGCTTTATCATAATAGTTGAATGCCATAAAAAGCTCAGGTGTCCATCTGGAAGAAAATATGTAAAGAAGCTCTGGTATGTCCCTGCAATGGAATACTACTCAGCCATGAAAAGGAATGAACTATTGATTCATACAACATTGATAAATCTCAGAAGCATTATGTTAATTGGAATAAAGTTTTCACAAAAGGGTACATGCTGTCTGATTTCATTAT